TCACGACTTGAGGTCGAATAACGAATATAAATAGCACGATTGCATGCGACAAGTGATAGAGAAGCCCTTGGAGATAACACTAACACCGTGCACCGTATCTAGACCAGAGGGAGAGAAATGCTAATCTTGGCTATAATATCAATAAGGAAATAATTCGTAAATAAACACTTCAAAACACTCGAGAACGCTTACTTTCGAAATCCCCAGAATCGACAGAAGACCGAGACCGGGGAGTTTGTACCACCGGACGAGTCAGAAGCGGAATTGTTGGAAGTCGTGATCGCAGAAGAGTTCGCCGCCCCCGTGCTCGTTCCCTTTTTCGAGCGCGACTTGTCCCGGTCCCGAGATCGATCGAATTCATGTCCTGAAGCCGAGCCAGCTTTATTTAGTTGAGAATTCCGACCGTTCGGTCTCTTGAATTGTCCATCTCGATTCGCTACGGTCGATAGCGAGGACCCGACCACATTTGAGGCACCACGACCGGAGAACGTCGATTCCGACCCGGCTGTGTCATCTGCAGACAAACCGGACTCACCATTCAACGTGGCATCATAATGAGCACCGACTTTTAGTTGGCGACAAGCACGACATTTGGGGACTTGCTTTAGTCCGGGGTCGTTGCAACTGACCAGCTGGACGAAAGGAATCTGACTACGCTTGTAATAGTCCAATGAGTGAGCCGGGTGTAATGAATGATCGGTCAGACGCGCCACTGAAAAATATGAGAGCATCCAATAAACAATATAAGACATCAGTAGTCAGATTTTATTACAAAAATATTCTGATCAGTCCGAGTTTACTCATCACCTAATAATCCCATGAAAAAAAGAAGAGAAATAAAGCTCACTATTTCATATATGAATAAAAGTTAAATTGAACTATCTTCCAGGTATTTCAATGTCCCTCACAATCTCGTCGCATCCAACATCTAGCAATTCATGAGCGTACAACTGGTCAGTACTACTTCTTGTCATTTTTACTTCTTTTTTTATTGAGCACACAATGATGCAATTTTCAGGAAGGGGGAAGCGGCCAATCAAACGCAGCTGCCATACAACACAAACGGAGAATGGGTAAAGTCATACGATGGTGATGGGATTCAAACACTCGTCCTCCGGGGTGATAATTTGGTGGCGGTACCACTGGGTCCCGACTATTCTCACCATCACGGCTAGACTACAGATTCGGCATCGTTTGGTTCTACCATGTGGACTGTGGTGTTTATATACGCCTCGTTTTTCTCCACGTCCATCGGTTGAATTCATGTGTTACTAACGTGAAAAAGTGACAATCGGTCATGGGATATATGTGGTGACAGGGAGAATTAGCATCCCTAATTGTACGACCGGCATGTTTCCTTAGCACGCCCCGTCAGATTTTGGTATTCACTCGGCACTTAGCTCTCAACAATGACGCTGAAAAGCTGGTCCACAGTGGAAATTGATCGTAGCCCTAGAGGGCAACTAACGGGCTAAAAACGCTTTAGCGAGACACTGGATTGCTGCCTTTCAGTTCACAATTCGTCATGCGAAGTTCGGAGATGCATTCTCGAATAAAAAGACCAAAACATGGGCGAATAAAGTGGAGTCAGACGAGAACCGCGGCCACAATTCAGTTCAATTTTTACAGACTGCTTCGACAGCTCCGATTTAATCCCCCCNCCCCCCCCCCCCTGAAATCGAAGTTGCCGGTAAGGCCTAAGGTTATTTGAATGGAGCCTCCATGTACACAATGATTGTACCTTATACTTTTTTTCATCCTGTTCTTATGATTCGAATGATTGGACTCGAATGTCCTCGTCGCCTAAATTTGAAGACCCCGGGGTCGGTTATCCTTGCGTTGAAGTATGTGGTCGGAAAGCAAAACTACTATGTACCTGTACATGTGAAATACACACTACGGGACGCATAGGCTCGGAGCCTATCAGCATGTATCATATATTGTCAAAATATTTATTCCAACCTCTCAATACGGTCTAGTTAAAAACCACCACCATCGACCGATGAAGTAGTGCATTCACGTTTTTACCAGATCTGTGTTACTACCCACAGTACCGGCGCCATATTCAGGACAGTGGTAGACAAAATGAATCAGCTGCGATTATCGAACTGTAAAAACCGCATTCAATCGAAATGTGTACATGATCGCCAAACTGCACTAGTTACAACCTGATTGCATGCTCGTCATGTGATGACCGATTAGGCCTATATAAAACGTATGGCAATAGGATGATGATGTCCTGAGGACAAAACAACGCGCGGTCCACTCAGGTACAAAGACAGTAACAGGTTACGGACAAAACGAACAGTCTATAATTAGAGCTCAGTTCAGTGAAAAGAAAACATTGAGAGTTCAGCTCAACTCTCTCCACTCACGCACAAGGTGAACAGACGCTTTCCGGACAAAATAGTGAACTAAGCGAAAATCATTTCTGAAAAAATACATTGCATGCTTGGCTGATCAACATAAAACTCAAGAAACTGGGAGGGACAGACACATAACATCATCACCACGATAATCTTACAGAGTAATCAAGTGAGACGAACATCGTTGATCGCTACACAGATTGTTAGATGTGATGTTGCTAGCTCATTCGCTCAACCCTACTCGTGCCAAATTAGGTAAATAATAACTGTCTAAAATCTCTAGCGGGCTATCACAAGCGGCATGGTAGAACTGACCGCACATCGTTTAACTTCAAGGAAACGTTACATCGATACCGAAGATGTTCCAGTCTAGCGTACGGCGATTGGACCTTGGAAAGTAGTGTGGCAACCTCCTTTACCGTCCCTACCGTCATCGGTGACGCAATCATATTGGCATTAGAAACTACCCACGAAAGCCGACTAACTCCTGGTTTCATGGGAGAAGTAATCGATAAGCACACACACACACACACACACACTATGAGAAATAAAAGAATTTGATAGTCCATCAAACGGGTATTGTTTATCATCCATACATTCGGAGAGACAGACGATTTCGGAAACGTAATCCCAATTGCCTAACGCTCTCTCCTCTGATGTCTATTTAGTGCATACTCACACAACAGAACAGTATGCATTATACTGTCACGTGAACATCATACCCAGTTTTAGAACACCAAAAGTAGCATCACCAACGAATGCTTGAAACTGTGCACCAATGAAGAGGACATATATATGCACAGATCATCGTCATCATCATCAACATCATGTGGCCCTGTTAAGCGAACGAAAAAAATTGGTCTAATGAAACTGAGAACAAGCCCTTGGTCAGGTTCCCATTCAAATGTATGCGTTGCTGAAGTACTAAATAAACTGATGACTGATCATCAAAAGACAAATACTCACAATTGGGTGGATCATGAAGGTGATCCAGCAACTCCTCAATGGGGATCTTGTCTTCCATCAAAGCGGCTGCTAATTCGTCCAACACAGTCGCTCCTTCGGACCTGGACACCGTGGTGACCTCAGATGAGGTATCATCTGTGGCCCGGACGGACTCGTCATCGATTGTATTGTCCTCGTTCTCTGTTGGCACCTCTTCTTCGGTTTGGGACTGGTGAGTTTCCGAACGATCTCGTATACGACGCCTACGTTTTGCGTCATCTGCCCCAGTGCGCTTCGATCCCGCTCGGGCACGTTTCGCTCCAACGGTCGCGGAGGCTGCAGTCGCGGCTGAAGCGGCCAAAGCAGCAGCTCGTTTCGGTTTCTTTGTCCGAGTACTGTCCGGGATATGTGCGGTGGGGGATATTTGTGTTGTTCTGGGGTTGTTCCCCATCGCGGGACTATGAGCGGTAGTTACGGTGGTATGATGAGATGCCGCGGATGAAGACTCAGCTACTCCCACACGGGCAGATGATTTGTTCACCTTGGGACGAGGTTTAGAGCGAGCAGGCCGACGATGGCTAGAAGAGGACCGACTGGCTGCAGCGTTTCGTGACGAAGCAGTGGAGGATGCTATTGAGTGTGAACTTTCATCAGCCATAACGCTATCTTCATTTCGGTCTTCAGTGTCCTCTTCATCCTCATCATCTCCATTCTCATCGTTACTAGCGTCAACATCCATGCTGTGCAAACTGCAGGAACTAGCACTGGCTGAGCTGTTGCTCCGTTGCTCACGAGCCGCCACCATCATAAGTAGTGTCCCGTTCACTGCAGCCACTCGACGCCTAGGTGCCTCCTCGGAGGGATTCGCTCCACCACGAGTCCAACTGGTCACACTGCTGGCACCTGAACTATTGCGTCGCGTGCATCGAGTTTCGTCAGTCAATCTACGTCGAGATTGTTGCAGAGTAGGGGCAACGACAGATGGATTAGAGAGTCTACTATGATTATTGATTTTTCCACTCTTAGCATCCTCGTCCGCATTATCTGTCCGGAATCTAGCACCGGATTTGGATGCACGGGCGTAGTTTTCATTCGACTTGGGAGCCAATTTTCGTGCCCCTTTTATTGATCCACGTTTCACTCCAGTTATTCCACCAGCTCGCTTTGTACCTGAAACCGCAGTCTGACGCGGATCCGTTGTCGTAACCCTTTGAGAAGCACTTGCTCCTGCCCCCAATGTACCTGACTGTGACGATGATGAAGTTGGTGGTTGTTGTAAGGGTGCTGACGCGTCCGTAAATGACGGTTTCCCTCGAGCCACTTTATTCTGAGTACCTCTACGTTTTTGTGAGTCGGTCGAATCGGATGTAATTAGCTAGCAAAGCAAGCAAGAAAAGTTGGGACGGGAAAAGGATATATACACACGCATAAAGGACCAGGTGAAAACAGTTATACATTCTTGTGGACTGTAAAGCGTAAAACTCTGAATATCGAAAATCACTATTCATTTCCTAAGACAGTATATTGTGGGTGTCGCAAAATGAGGACATGTCACGTGAGCACAAATAACCTGCTTACTGCCGTTTATGGATTAAATTGAGTCAATATACGCTTCCAAGAAGTCCTAAGACGAAGTGTTTTGCAATCCGCTTGCATGCTAACCTGTCTCGCCGATTAGACAAACCACGTGATTATTGCAAACATAGAAAGCTCTGCTAACTTTCTACCTTGAGATCGTGTGGAAGGCAGGCACACATACACGTACTCAAGCAAAAACCTTTCAGTCCCTGGTGAAAATGAAAGCACTAGTATTTTTGTGAACAGCAAATGAACAACTTATTCCTGGAAGGAGATTGTAGTAAATCAAAAACTCCCAAGGGAGATGAAGAAGTAGCAATGTGAAGACAGCGGTGTGTTTGATTGTGTCAGGGTTCAACTGACTACTTTGAATAGCCGAAACGATCGATCTTGTCCAATCTGGCCGTAAACGTTAGCATACCGGATGGCCAATCAAATAGGCTAGCACTCAGAGAATATCTTTCATCGCCTATCTAAAAAGACAGTCTAAACGCAGCCAGAAAACCAGAGATTTGAAAAATGGGCGCGTGCATACACATATGAGGCACTAGTCAAAATCTTCGCATTTTAACCCTCTGAGTGGTATATGCTGACCAAATACATCAAGTTTGGACAAAAAGGCGGAATAATCAATTATCGGAACTTTCCCGTTTAGTGCCACATCAAACAACGTGATTGGGTGAAATAGACTCACTTGTTTCGCCTTATCGTTCATCGATCCGAGCGGTTTTTCGGTACCACTATTGTATATTGGCTTCGTTTCATTCGCTAGTAATGTGCTACCGCTGTTGTACGGTGAAGATTGACTGATGGCCGGAGAGACAGGCGAATGCACTGGCATGCGGGGAGAATCGGAGTGAGAGTCGGACGGGACAATCAGTTGAGTCCATCGCCCCAGGCTTGAGGGATCAATGGCAGAGGCTGAGCCTGAAACCGGTCCGGTTTCATTGTCAGCTTCATACCGCTGAATCAAGCGCTTCTTTAGTGGCATTGAAGAGTTTGCGGATCGACCGTCCACTGTTGATTGTTTATCTCTTGGCACAACTGACAACTGTGGTGATTGATGTGTCGGAATGGATTGAGCAGTATTTGGACGCGAGGACGGATGTGATCCGGTCTCCGCTGGAACCGGTAACGGGGATGCTGACAACTTTGTGGATATTGGTGCTGGTGCGCATGGTTTAAAATGCCCAGCTGGATTTGTGTCGGATTGGGGTGCGGTGGATACGACAGGGATAGATATGACAGATCCGTGGTCGCCATTAGTCCGCACGGGGGATGGTGTAGGTTGGAGAGAGGTCCGGTTACCATGCATTGAGGAGTTTGTGACCGGTGCAATGTAACGATTGTGTGGTTGTGCTGCAAAAGAATGGATGTTTGGTTTGGAGGAGGGAGAACTGGAACCAATTAGACGATGATCGTCCGGTGAGGAAGAGGAGGAGGAGGGAGAAATGCGAGTGATTGAGTTCGACTGCGCTCCCGTGTTATTATTATTAGACAGGGGAGATGTACAGAGAATGGATGGGACGGTGGCGGTGGCGGTAGCAATGGTAGCTATAGCGCCAGCGGGACACATGGGAGTAGCAAGACCACTGTTGTTGTTGGCATTACTATTGACCAGATTAGGCGACAGGCTTGCACAAAACGAGCTGGATGACCTAATTCGCTGTACTTTATTTGTACTGGAGGGTGACGACATGGAACCGGGTGGAGTAGGCCAGTCCACATTTAACGCAGCTATTTTGGCATCCTGTAGGATAGCGAACCGAGTGTCGGCGGATTCCGCGCTATTCACCCGCTCACGAGTTGGCATCGGGCCAGGAGCTATCGGATGTGAGTTCGCCACAGATGTAGGAGCATGGAGATGCTGAGAATCGCCACGCTGGTCAACATTAAG